TTGAAATTGAAATTTTAAAAATCTGGTTTTGTGTAATTTCCTCTAATACAAAATCAGCAAATTCCAATTGCCAGATTCTCAATTATTCCCCAAAAGCAAGTTCACGTAACGACAGTTTCACTATATGTAAAGGGACAACCATGGTTTCTCAACGAGGTTGCCCGAACCTTAAAATTTACGAATACACCCTCCTAACTCTTTAACCTATATCTTACCTTATTGTCCTAATTTCTGTCCAATCTCGTATGAATAGCCTTAATTCAACATATTAGTAAGTCGTTAAAATGGGATTCCTGACAAAATTCAGCCTATACAGTACACCAAAATGGTTTAAACCAAAACAGACTGTAGCTCTTCTATACGCGCTAATTACAGGGTCAAAATGTCACGACCAGCTATGAAAGAAAACTATGTTACATGCTTGTACAAATATTTCAGCCTACAGGTCTCTGATATCATCTCTAATAATAAGATAATATTCCCATCCCATCAGCTTCCTCTCATTCTTTATCACCATCGTCTGCTTACAGCTGTACAGAGTCTTGGCCTTGAGGCAAAAGCCTTGACACCACTCAAGGCTTTCAGGCGTTTAATGGAAGCGTCAGGACTCAAGGGGTAAGCCTCAAATAGCTTTTTAAAACAATGACGAAGCTATAGCTGAATAAGTGAAACTAAGCAATCCAGCAAATGGCAAGAAACAACAGAAATCAAGCCCCAAAACAGACATCCAGAATGCTTTTTACGTGCCCTCTAGTCAACAAGAAAGCAAATCCATTCTAACCACTACTCAGCAATCCAACTGCACAACTGTACTTGGAAGTTGGACAATATTATAATTAAAATCACAGTCCGAATTCATGGTACAACTTGCAGAAATGTACTAAAGTCATTCTTTTGATCGATTTTCTACATACTCTTTACATCGGGCAGTGCTACCAAGCTTTCGATATCATTTAGATTATGTTGTTTAGTATGTCTCTACCTTTCTTCTTTGCACTATGTGGCCTTGGTAATGCAGCAAGGTTCTTCTTCTTTTGTGGCATTCACCAGGATTTTTTTATTAACTTTTGTAAATATCTAAAAGTTTTCCAGGCTCTTCTGGATCTGCTTAAAAAGGTCATTCATTATTCTCTTATCTAGTGCGCTCAACCACCTTCCCCTCTGCCAAAAAGAGAACCAGACAGACGAGAATGGAAAAGGAAAAGAGGAAGGATATAAAATATCTATATGCCTGGTTGTTACGAATGAAAGACCTCAATATGTTTATTTTCCCCCATTCAGCCAGAGGCAAGCCTTCTAATGCAGAGATCGATTTTTAATGCCAATTTTTTTCTTTTTTGACAAGTGGTTGGTAAAAACTCTCTCTTCGGCAATCAAGTTTATATCTTATCAAAACTCGTGCAGCTTTATCCTAATTGTACGTCCACTTTTTGCAAATTCTCAGGACGCAATTCCCTAGCAAAACATTCTCTTCATACTCTCTATCCATTCAAAAAGGTTTGGAGTTGGTTGTTCTCACTATTGAGGGCATATATTCAGTACCGAAGAAGACCTCACGATAATTCATGAATTTCCTAGTTCTTTTCAACTACTGAGATAACTTACGAGATTCGTCCACAGACATCTATTTATATAGTTCCTTCCATATATAGGAGTCACCCATCAAATTCCAAAATATAATTTCAATAAAAATCATTTCAGAAGAAGCACGGCTCTTCTAGATCTTAATTAACATTTCTTGTTAAATCATATAATAAATACAGTTTTAGGGTGTAGAATTGCTTGATGCCAGATATTACCCTCCTGTATACATCATAACTGGCTTCTCAAATTTCAATTTCTTTTGCATCTTATAAACTAGTTGAGGTGTAATGTTATTCACCTTCGTAATCTAAACCAGACTAATATCAATATCAACAACTATATGCACCTGCCAATAAACCACTGTTCATCCCACAAAGAAGTTCGCATTTGGAAGCTGTGAATAAAGGAGAAAAGGTGCTTATCAAATAGCCAGGGGACGNTAGAAGTTCGCATTTGGAAGCTGTGAATATAGGAGAAAATGTGCGTATCATATAGCCAGGGGACGATGGGGATTCATGACATTTGCAGGTGACAAGGGTTGGTTCAAAATCATCTGTTTCTAGTTCATTTTTTTTCGTACAAGTAACAAACAACTAACTATAGACTTTCAACATCATTCTCCATGATTGTCTCTCACTAGCTAGATATTTACTATTCTGCATGACCAGTACAATAAACACAACTGAAACAGATGTCTTGCGTGCTTTCATGTAAAATTGTCTAGAAATTTGAACCTCACAAGGAGAAAATATGACAAGTTAGCGAAACAAGACAAGTTCCATCTAATCAACTCAAACAAACAAATCTCAGTACACCTTATCGCATTAAAACAATATGTATTGTCTATTTATTTTCAAAATAGTAACGTGTAAATGGAACACAAACTCACCTCTTCAATCTAAGAGGCCTCTCCAGAGGAAGCCTTAGAGCTTCGGAAATCCCTCTTCAAGTCCGACACCCTCTTCATACATGAAGCTTTGGTCTTTCCCGGCACAGCGGCTGCAATCTTCTCCCATCTCATTGCCACATCCTTTGGAAAAGCTTTCAAAGCATTGAGCAACGCTAAATCATCTCCGTCAGTCCATTCACTTTCTCCTCCCCCTCCCTCATTATTGTTTGTTGCTTCAATTCCAACACTTTGCTCATCAGAAACTCGCTTATCCATTGGCTTCCGATTTCTTAAAAACTTCTTATAAGAATCCTCATCGCTCACTTTCCTCTCACCCATTTCTTTAGACTTCTTTATCACACTATCCACTTTATGTTTCCCCTTGTACCCCTCAGCTATCGCCTCCCATCGCCCCGGCTTCCCCACCGGATGCTTCACCATTAACTTCTTCAGCAACTCCTCATCCGCCACGCTCCACTCCCCTTCCTCATTTTTCACAAAATTCACAGAAGACCCACTATCATTCCCCTCATTTTTCTCCGAATTCACAGGAGAATCAGCAATATTTATGGATTTCCCCAAAGACCCATCAAATTTTACAGCATCTTCTGGCGATCTCTTTTGTAATTTCGTCGATTTCCGATTGATTTTCTCGACAGTTTCGACGGGAATTTCAGGCAAATCTTTAAGAGCAGGACCAAGGCCAACGCGGATATCGCCGGCAGTGAGGGAGGAAGGGGCGAAGGGGCCCAGAAGAAGGGAAACAGAAATCCACAGAAGGATGGATTTGACGGGTTCAAAATTGAAGTAAAGTAATGCAAGACTGAAAATGGAAATGGAAAGAAAGAGGGAAATGAAAATGGTAGTCCTATGAATAGAAGGATGATTTGTGCCCGAATCGGAGGCATTAGAGGATTCGGTTATTGGTTTTGACTGGAATTGGAATCTTGGTCTGCTATCATATTCATCAAGAAACTCCATGGTCAAAACTCGAGGCTCACAGACAGCAGAAGGGGGAGAGGACTAACATTAGAACCCAGATGGGTTTTTAGTGCATGTTTGGCTAGTTTAAATTGGAAAAGTTTATAACTTTCAACAAAGGACAAACATGACCTATCAATGATGTCACATCTACGTCACAATTACATATTAATTTATTAACAAATGTAATGAGATTTGATTGGGTAAAAAATTTGGACAATTCTTTTGGTACATCACAAGTTACATCGGGGTGCCCATAATGAACACCGACTCTCTCTCATTGGTTGCGATGTCGGTCCCACAAGCCCCCCCATCAATAGGGGCGACGGGTGTCCATTATGGACACCTTTATGTATCTTGTGATGTACCACGATGATAATTTAAAAAATTTATCAACCAAATAAAAAGTATACAACTTGATTGACACCTCTCTATGTGTCAGAAATTTGGCAATTAATTGTAAAATATGTTGTCAAAATCAATGTATCAAAATTTGTCGACTCACATGGGTGTAAATCAACATGTCCACTTTATGTACATTTAACATGATCCAAAAAAACTCATCTACTTTCTTTTCGACACATCTTCAATATTATGTAAAAAGTGATGTAAAAAAATATTTATCTTTTTCATCTATTGGTAAATTAATGTGTAAGTTGTGATCTATATGTAGCACATCTGTATCAGGGGTTGTGCTCTCTAATGGCTAGTATGTTTTTATATTTAACTACATGAATGTGGGATATTTTTTAACGTTAAAATCACATGTGAGAGTCGCATGAACTTTTTGAATCTAGATTCACAAGTTCAATCTTGGACAATTTTGCCCTCACTTCGAAGTCAAGTGAAATTTTGATTGCGATTTCGATTTTAATGTAGAACCTAAAATCACAAATTTAGATAGGTTTACGATTTAAAACCTCACTTTTAAAAATTAAGGATTAAAATCACACTAAAAATTAATGGGCTAATTTCATAAACAGTCACTGAACTTACCTAAAAATTATAAAACGGTCTTTGAAGTTGAAAATTTGCAGAAATGGTCACTGAAGTTTCATGTGCTTTCACAAATGGCCACTGAACTTACTATTAGAACTTTTATGATGTCAATTCAAACTTAAAGGACCAAAATACTTGGACATAGAAGTTTGAGGACCTCAAGTGCAAATTTCTTATTATTAAGGCACAAACCCAAACAAAATCTTCAGAATCACCATAACAAAATGGTATTACTACTTCATAACATACAACGACGCACAATCTTCCACATTTCACCAAAAAATAGAGTTCACTGGCAAAAAACATATAATAGACTTCAACTAGCGTCATTTCGTCGTCAAGTTGTTCCATGCTTCGCTAAGAGTTGTCGTCGAATTCGAACTTCCACTGGCTCTTGGCATTCGCTTAGGTATAGATCCCTCCCTATTGAAATTGGTTCTTGGTTTTGGTACAAATGCCATCGAACCACCAAACCCTGTTTGTCTAGCACTGTCAGTAGGCTGGGGAAGAAAATGCCGCCCTACACCTTGTTCAATTCCATCAGCAGTAGTCGGTTGTAAATAGGCAAATTGTTGTCCAAATTGTAATTTTTAAACATCACTCCATCATAAATAAATAATGATATAGAATCCGAAAATCAGACAGCCCTTAGAAAGAGAAATTAAATACGTAATTACCCTAGTTGGTTCAACATTTGCTCTTGCAGTTTCCCATGCCCTTGGACTATTTATGTCCTCCTACAATTTATGAAAAATGACGTCAACCAACATAATAAATAAAACAAAAATACGATATACATATATGACTATAACTTAGTATATACATCAATTGTTGTGTAGCTTGCCTGCGAAGCATGGTTCCAGTGTTATCTTTTATTGTGCCCCTTTTAACTGCAAGTACTACATTTCAATCTCTTCTTGCCATGACCTCTCCTATTGATAGGAATGCAAAATGCATATTTTTTCCTCCTTATTTTATGTGTTCGTATGATTAATTAGTGCCAAAATGTACTCAATACGTTTATATTTTAATTTAGGTGGCAATTCTATGGATATGGCGTAATTTAGAAAAAAATGAAATTTCGGAGACCAAAATACAATTATTCAGAAGATGGCCCGAATGGCGAATTAATAATGGAATTGACATAAGTAACACATTGTGATATCATGGAATGTTAGAAAAAGAAGGAGAAGGAAACAAGGCCAAATGTTAAATGAAATAAAGTTTGAGGACCAAAGTGAACCAAATGGAAAATAATTTCTACCATGCAGTCGCATGGTAGAAAGTTCATGCAGTCGCCCAAACACCAACAGGAGATGAACTGTGCAAAATTTTTATAACCACGCAGTCGCATGGGTTTATACCATGCGAGCATGGTTCATTTTGGGTGCGAATTTTCTGATTTCCTTATTCGAACCAATCT